TGGGCAATTCATCCGGTGACTTGCACGGCCGCCCTCGCTAAATCAACAAGAATCTGGACTACAACTCACATGGAGTCTGACTGAGATTGGATTTTTCCGGAGTAGGTTGCTTTTGCAACTTGGCATCTACTGAGAAAGGTAGTGGTGGTTTTAAGCCCAGGTTGCTGTCGAGGTGGGATGGCAGCCGTATGACAGTCACCTTCAGTAGCTGGCCATATGGGTATCCAGATGGTCCAGATGGCCAGCTACACTTTTAGAATATTCCCAACATGTCTACGGGCATACTCACACTAGCACTATCTTAAACCACCAGTACCTTTCCCTGCTTCAAAAACATGCATTTATCTGGCTGCAATTCTGGCCAACAAGTAAAAGAGTCCTGGTATGTGTATGCCCTAAGGAGGTTATTTTGTTGCCCAACTTTCTTCTTTGAAATTTCCATTCCAAATTTTCATATGGAATTTTACCTTGATTTTTTTTTCATTGGTAGTCCATTTGTAAAAAATAAAATGAAAAGGAAAAAAAATCATTTGTAATTGGTAAAAAATGCGTCGCGCCCCTCAACGTTGAATTTATTTGCATCACGCCCCACTGACGGCCGACTTACCCTGCGTACCCTTCGGACAACAATTCAAGTTCGCGATAAAACCCCTCGCGTCAATTGGGCCTGAAATATGTTCATTATGCCCCTACCGATAAGCGTTCCAACCTTTTAGTAGCCCCTACCGGACATGACCCTACTGGTACCGTGCATCTCTTCGGCACTCCCCTGTAGACATTGGAGGCACTCGCGAACCGTCTTCAAAACTGAACGCCCTGTCATTATCGCTGTATGTACAGTCTGAAGATGGCACCGAATACCACTATAATGACAGGAGGTAATCGAGGCCTTAACAGAACAGGTGACCTGGGATATTTACATCAAACTCCGGAAGATGTATTAGGCTTTACTACGACAGTGAGTACAACTTTCAATGCGCCGTAACCTGTAGGACTATCGCCCTTCTGCCTATCGCTGCTCAAGTGATGATCTCTGCCTCCTCCCTTCCTTACATCGACGTCCAACCTTGATTCCCAACATCGAGTCCCAACTCTCCCAAGGGCTCCAGGCATCAATGCGTCACCACTGAGTTAACATACACACTAAAGCAAACACCAGTATCAGAGAACCCTTCTGCAGGTAATCAGGATGACCATCACTAAGCGTCGTTAACAGACAGGACAAGTGGGAAAATGGATATCCCAGCTGCTAAGTACGGTAGACAGCAGCAGTGAAAAAACGACCGAGATGGGCAGGGTCCACAGGCCACCAGGCACCTCTTTCCCCCACCTCCACCCTCTTCTCACAACCCCCCCCCCCCCCCCCCCCCCCCCCCCCCCCCCCCCCCCCCCCCCCCCCCCCCCCCCCCCCACCCCCCACCACCCAAAAACAAAGGAACATGTGATCGTTGTATCAGGTGCAGGGTGATACCAACAAGGTAAGCGACAGTCACTGCATGTGCGCGTCAAGAATCTGGATGCTGATGCCACACAAACATCAACCCTTTGCGTAGCATGACCTTTGTCACACGTGTGACTTGGTCATCAGATTATCATAACTAACCCCCACTAGCAAAAGCACTGTGGCTGTTGGGTACAACGACCGTTGTCGCATGCGTGATTTCGGCACCAGATTATTGTAACTACCCCCAACTAGCAAAAGCAGTGACAGTGACCTTTGTTATTCTCTGTTTTCAAATGAAGTACAGACCTGTTGAGTGCTCACAGACAGATGACACTGTGCATCGCTGCAACGATTGTAATTTGCCCAAGAACTTGCTCAACCAGTCATTGCGCTCTATGGAAGGAAGCATGGCTGGACAGACCAAAGGAAGGAAGGAAGGAAGGAAGGAAGGAAGAAGAGAGGCCATCAAGCTTGCTCCTGATCACTTGCACCCAAAGTCTCGTCTTCTGACAGACTACCCGCAGTAGACATGAAGATGTCGGAGAAGTCTTCGAAGACTACAGCAGCCAGGTTACCACTGGCAGATTGCTTTTCCACCTTTGTCTCCTTAGCCTTCAAGGAGATAACTTTCTCCTCTATCCTCCTGCATTCCTCTTGCGCCTCTTCCAATTTCAGACGCTTGTTTCTGAGCTGATGCCCATTCTCGTAAGCTTTCCTGAGCCTCCGGTTTTCCTCCTGAGCTAACCGCGCTTCAATCTGGGACTTTCTCACTGTTTCTTTGTGGGTTTTTACAGCTTTGATTTTTCTGTCCATTTCCTCCCTCGTACAGCTCAACGTGAAAGAGTCCTCGCGGTCCAATTCCTTGGCTTGGTCCCAAAGATCCTTGAGCCTGACCTGCGCTGCTATCAACTCGCTCCTGACAGCATCCAGCTCCTCCTTTGGTCGTCGAGTCTCTTCATCAATCACCTGCACCATTTAATGAAAATCAAAGCTTCCTTAACAATTGAAGAGAAAAGGAAAACCAATGTGCCGAGTACTCAAATAGACCCCTACAGGGCTTCATTTGCCCATCACAATTGAGGTGACGGCTTTGTCCATGCATCACTTGCAATCTATGCCCCATTCTTACCGGGCTGATGGTTGTTGTTGTGGGGAAGAGCTCTGCAATGATACTTCATGGTAAGAAATGACACCACTCATGGGATTTGAACCTGTGACCTTCAACTTAGAAGGTTGTTGCTCTGTCCAGCTGAGCTAGGAAAAAGAATCCGCGCTAGCTCACCTCGACAGAGCAACAACCTTCTACGCTGAAGGTCACAGGTTCAAATCCTGTGCGCTCATGCAGAATTCTTCAGGGGAGTGGACGACCAGTGAACAGAGACACATTACAAATCTGTTGGGGAATGGATCTTGTCGTGGGAAAAAAGGATCGTAAAGTAAAATTATGGGATGACGGTCCCATGACTCCGATAACTGGGATAGTATATGCCACACATGGACCCTACTAGGTGTGTGATACTGCCCTACCGGCTTCCCCCTAACATAACACATGCGTTGTCAACGAATAAAACACATACATTGGTTTCTATTCAAATACAAAGCATGCACGTTCTATTCGAGCGGTCCTCATATTCGAATACAATGCATATGCGTTCAATTCGATTCGCTGATGAATTTCGAAAACCTGAACACAACGCATACAAGTCATGTTTGGGGGAAGACGGTAGCTGGACTGCAACCTTTTATTGGATGGACACTCGGTAGGACTGTGAAAAGAAAGCAGTTATGGCGAAATGTGTGTCTTGTTCAAGGAAGGAAAGGGGTTTTTCATAAGACGGTTATCGTTCACCTCCTCCATTCGGATCCTCATGGAATCAGATGAATGGCATAGCTCTGAAGTACGTGGAGCTGGTCAGCTCTATGATGATACCTCAAGGCCCTCACCCTTTTATGAAAAAAGAAAAGAAACGAAAGGAAAAAAATACAAAATGCATGCAAAACGGTATCTAAAACACCTTTCGTGCAGCACATGTCTAGGTGTGCGTGCATATGTTTGTGTGTGACAGAGTGAAGTGCAGCACATGTCTAGGTGTGCATATATATGTTTGTGTGTGACAGAGTGAACGACAGGCGCGCGCGCGCTGTCGGCGCGAATACCCTGACAAGGGTATCCGCCCTAGTTTTTGCAAGTGACAGGAAGTAAGGGTAAGAGTCTAAGTATGCCGCGCGAGTCGCGGCCAAGGCTGTTGGGTTACACTGACAGGATGGTTGACTAGATTAGAGCGTGAGTGGGCGCGCATTCTTAAGGCGCGTTGGCCGGCCTGATTGGTTTTTAGTAGTAATAGAAGCTTTGTTTTTATTCAGGGCGGTTGACCACTGATAGGCCTGACGTACGAGGTAGCCACGGCGCGAGGGGGGGAGGGCAAATCGGCGCGGAGGCCTAGTGACAGCATGCCTAGTTAAGAGGTAGGAATGAGGGCCGGGCTTCTTTCTTAGGCCTAGGGACCGCGCGCAGCACCCCTTTTTATAAGATACCACCCGCGTCTGGTCCCAGGCTTGGGCTTAGCCCTATGGGTGACGGTACTGGATTCCCATGGTGGAGGTACGAGGTTCGAGGCTGCTGCCCGAGGTTCGAGGCCAGCGGGCAGCAGCATGGGAGCGATGGAGCATTAGACGAAATAAAGGGTTGAGGGTCCCACGGAACTATCCCCTTTTGTTTTGTTGGGGGATCCCGACCTCGGGCTCGCATGGCGGGACTGGGAGGGATGCTGCTAGGTCCCGCACCCCTTGCTATTTTTTTTCCTACTTTGTCATATTTGAGGCCGGTCAAATCCGAGCTTGGGCCCGATGCGAGTGTTGAATGGCAAGCGGTTCGCCGGACAGAGGCGCAGACCGACGGAGAGGTATCGGGCCGCCTAATAAGCTGAGCTGTCCGAAGTCTTCCTGATATGCCTAGGCAGTCGAGCGTGGGTCGACCTACCCTGCTTCGACCTTCCGTGACTACCAATTGGCAGTCTGCGACGACTTACGACCATATGGTATTTGGGGCCAGCGCTTAGCCTAGCGCAGGCAGGAGAACGGGGAAGGTACCGACCAATGGCTAGCTAGCGGCATCAGGGCCAAGTACCTTTGAAGGCCAGGGAAAGTGGTAAGGGAAACTGCAGCTATACTGGGGCGGGATCTCTGTCGGGCCGCGGAGTGAATGAGCATAAGGGAGGAGCTGCCTAAGAGGTCGGCTCCCTAGAAACTCTGCAGACATCACGCCTGTCAGGGAGGTGCTACGACGAGCGTTAAGCTAGGAGAGGGGCGGGTGACGAAGGGCGCTAGGCCAGAGAAGCTAGCGCTGAGCCAAAGTAACGGACCAGGCCAGGCAACAGCGCTGGGCAGCAGCAGGACAACCGATAGTTGGTGGGAGAGTGACGACGAGCCGAGCGGGCGGACGCCGCGGAGAAGAAGGCAAGGGCTGCAATAACAGGAGTGAATCCGGACAGCCTGTCACGCCGGGTTCATTCAGTAGAAGGAGCGGCTATGGCACGGGCGGAGGACGGGGTATCCTGCTCGGTACTCGACGGTAACGGGTCGGTGAGGGTGTGGAGTATAGATTCGGCATAAGGCAAATCCGGTAGAAGTGTTAGGATAGCGGGGGGATCGCCGGATCGGTGTAGCGGGAGATTATTGAAGAGAACCCACTAGGAGCTATGGAGGTGGCAGAAAGGAGAGGAGAAGAAAGTACATGAGTGCAGCTGATTGTGGACATAATCGAGAGAGAGATGATCCTACACGGGGGTTTTCGAATAAGGCAAATCTGATTACGGGGTTAGAAGTGCAGGATACCAGACGATTCTGCTGTTGCACGAGTAAAGAGCTGCACGGATATGGCCGGACGAGACGAAGAAAGGAGGGAATGAGAATCGTACCGCTCGCTCGTTTGTCAACGAAAACGAGCGGATGAAGATAGGAATCCGGGGCTTTCAGGGCGGGTGACCCGGATTCTGTGGTCAATTTTAGTAGAGAGTTAGTAAGTCTAGAGACAGAGAAGAAAGGCATCGCGCGGAGAAGTGGCGGGAGAAGCTATGGCTGAAATAGGAGAAAGTGATATTCCGCTCGATTATTGATGAAATCAAGCGAGAAAAAGTCATAAACGGGTTTTTTTTGTACTACGAGTTAGGCTGTGAAGTTTGTTCGGGTGTTGGGTCAGTGAGACAGGAGTTATTAGTAGTAATGGCTGCGAGGCCGCTAAGGGAGGTTTTGGGAAGTGGTGATGTACCTTCCCATGGTTAGGGGGTAGGTTCATTTGGTTTTGTTCGTCCTGCCGATGGGAGTAACAGAAGGATAGCCGTGGGGTTAGGGACCTACCTGTTGGCCGGTGCATTGCCCACCCCAGTAATTAGAGCAGCCTCTTCCTGTCCCACGGCCTGAATGGCTGGAAAGTGGTATATGCTCCCATACTGCGGTGGAAGATTCATGCCAATATTGCTCACCTGGTCGGCAGGAGTAGCAGTTTTTCCCTTTGGCATGCGCAAAGATTCTCGTTTAAACAGCTCCTTGGTCCGAACCGTCAGGAGAGATGGGTGCGGATTGACGTCAGGAGAGATGGGTGCGGATTGACGTCAGGATCGCCTGCACCGCTGATTCGCCTGCTGCCCCAGTCGTGATCTCGACTGGGCTCGTCGAGGTGGCAGGGTCGAAGAGCACACCGGGGCAGACGAGTGCGCACAGGCCAGTAGGGGAGCGGGCGTGAAAGCTGCAGGCGGGTACAGGGGCGAAAGGAAGGGAGGGAAGATGGCATGACAATTGTTACAGTAAACGCGTGCAAAAGACTGCAGGTATAAGCTTGCGACTGGGCATAGCGGGTGCGAGGGTACTTGGACAGGATGTGGTAAGAGGGGTGGAGATGATAAGTGAGAGCACGTACCTGGTCTTGGCGGGAGCCCACAGAGTCGGCGTCCTTTGGCATGTTGTGTTTGCCGATATCACAGCCGAGTATGTTGCCGGCATATAGGCCGCTAAAACTGCTTGGCAGGAGCCGGTGCATTAAGAATCGAGAGGAGAGAGAGACCTACCTGCCGAAGCCAGCGCATAGCCAACTTACGAGAAGTGTGTCGGATCGTTGTAAACACCTGCATATCGAGGGTCCCCGATATGGGTGGTGCTTCGCTGGCAGACGGAGTTCATCCGTGGTATGCGAACGGCCTCCGCTCGCGCATCCTTGACTCCTAGCTAGCTGAGTAGGAGAGGCAGTCAACGCCTGCAGTAGCGAGGCCATTGGCTACAACCGCGGGGCCTTGGAAGATGCGGTCGGATTGAGCTATAAGGCTGCGATGCTGATACATCGTTGCTAAAGTCGGTGGTGCTGCGTTACGTTCGCCGTTGCTCAGGGCATTTTCCTTTGTTTCTGTTGGCTCGTGCTGCTTGCTGGTGCCTCTACTGCCCTTGCTATCGCCTTATTCCAACGTTGAGCTCTCAGTTGAAGGCGGTGTGAGCCCGCCTGCGGACTAGTGAGTTGAACAGTCTGTCGAGCAGGCTGTTCGGAAGGCGGTGGGCTATTGACTAAGGGCTGTGCACGAACCGCTGCAGCATGCAGTGCATGGACTGTTGCTGCGGACCGTGACTGCTGGTGACCGCAACTATCGTTGTTGACTGTCGCCGGGTACTACTGCTGCGCTGGTGGACTGTGGATGGACTGTGGCTATTGTAAGTCGCTGTCCCTTCTCCTGACCGCTGTTGGATACCGCATATTGCAACTGGCTGCCGCGGCCTGTGCGTAGACTACTATTGGTGACGGCCCATACGTTGGATGCCGCTGCGGTTGTTGGTGATCGCCGCTGAGTATTGTTGCAGTATCTAAGGACTGGGACAGGCTGGTGGGTGGCTGGGATTAGACTGAAGGATGTGTGTTGAGGCTCAGAGGAGTAGTTGGACTTGGGGAGCGAGCTTGGTGCTACGAGTTGGAGGCTCGTCAGGAG